AGAGCAGAGAGGTGCAATGTCAAACTTGAAATTGGCCGAACAAGCTTCTAAGCACCAGGCGTTGGAAAATTATTCTGATAGAAACACAATTCTGATGGATACATGCGATAGGCTATCGTTGAGCACCAGGCGGGCCGGGCCCGGCCCGGGTCGGGCCCACCCCGGGCTGCGCAAAAAAGCGGGCAGGGCTGGCCCGGCCCGACCCGGGCCATAGAAGGAAACTCTTGGCCCGAGCCCGCCCTCAAGGCGGGCGGGCCATGCCCGGCCCGACCCGGGCTCTGCATGGCCCGACCCGGGCCGGCCCGGCCCGGCCCGGGTGCTGTCATAATCGCCCACATGATGTATTTTTGGGCTGTTTCCGTTGTATTTTTGTGCTCCGATGCGGCCCGGCCCGACCCGGCCCGTACATGGGCGGGTCAAAATCGGGCGGCTGCGGCCCGGCGGGCCAGGCCAGTCCGGCCCGCCCCGGGCCCACGTCGAAATTATGATGCCCGGCCCGGGGCATTTCCGGGGGGGCCCGACCCGGGCGGGCCCTGGCCCGCTTTCATGCTCATCGCTATCGTCGATAGCGTCACTTGACTTTGATGATCCGCCACTGTGGCACGGTTGGTGCCACTGCTGAACCTGAACCCACAATGATCGTGCATGGCATTTTGCTCGTCCGGCATGAGCTCAACCAAAGGAAACACAGCGGAAACTCCGTAGATCTGTGTGACGCACGCTCGCAACCAAGCCGAATGCATCCGCGTCATAGTGGTGCCATCGTGGTGTGTGAGCCTCCATGGAACCCTTGCTGGAATGCATCATACTACCATCACCAAGGATCCAGAAGACATGAGATTTATCAGCGCAACAAATACAGGAAGATTACGTGGTGGGGGTCGAGGGCGGGCCACTGATTGCTAAGTTCGTTTTGCAAGGATCCCAAAATTGTTGCCCCCCATACTATGTACTATTAGGTTCTGCTACATTCAATTTTGAAACAGGAGCTACGGCGCAGCGATGCACGGCGCGGCTGGCCTGGCCGGCCCAGCGCCTAAGGAGAGGCGCCTTAGCTAAGAAAGAATAAGAGGAGAGTCTTGCAGCAGAAGAAAAGGGAGCTAGGCTGGAGGGAGAAGCCCAGCTCTGGAGACGTAGAGAAGAGAGAAGAAGACTTTCAAAAAGATAGGATTAAAGACTCCAAGGATAGAATAGGATGAGATTATAATACAAGATTTTGAGGTGGATATTAATGCTAGGAAGAAGGAATGGCGACTTGGGGGAAAACCGTATCGCCACTCTAGCATGGCATCTTGGCATAACGCCTCGATGCCTTGTCCTGCTGGATTCTAATAACATCTAATCACTGACGAGGATAAGGGAAAGGGAGCTACCTAGGCAAAGGGCGGTTCCAACCGTTCGGGTATTCCCATGCACGCAGGCATGGCGAATCCCATCTTGTTACAATTTGCTCTATACAGCTCTATATCTAGCAGAACAAGTATATAGCACGGGGGTGAAACAAAAGGTTCGTCGGACGAACCTTGGGAGTCGACGAACGGGACACAGCGGACTGGAGAAACCACGGCGAGACACGTCCGAAAGATGAGTAAGCTGAGCCGAATGAGGCGCCCCGCGCCGTCCGAAGTTGCCATCGAGGTGCAGCGATTCCAGGAAATGGTTGTTTTTAATCGTTTGTGAAGTTGTGTGCGTCACAGAGCCGAGCCTAATGTTGGGTGCAAATATTTTTTTTTGCACGTCAACCAGCCGCCTGCGTCGCATTTCGCATTTTGTGTGTGTGTGTGCGCATTTTCATTTTCTTTTTTGTGATGTTCTGTGCGCATTCGTTTCTGCATTTTGTGTGTTTAGTTTTTCATTCGTAATTGCATTTTGTGTTTGTGCATTCTCAGTTTCGTTTTCACTGTTCTCATGAGGCTCTTATGATGCGCTCAAATGAAGCTCTCATGACGCGCTCAAATGAAGCTCCCATGACGCGCTCAAATGAAGCTCTCATGACGCGCTCAAATGAAGCTCTCATGATGCGCTCAAATGAAGCTCTCATGACGCGCTCAAATGAAGCTCTCATGAAGCGCTTAAATGAAGACCCCATGGAGCTCAAACGAAGCTCGCATGAGACTTAAATGTTTCATCCGAGGCTCATGCGAGTAACCCATGAAAGTCCCATGAAATTCGAATGTTTCATGCGAGGCTCATTGGGGTTCCATGCGAGCGAGCGGTGTACCAGGGGGCTCGATAGTTTGACTATCGAGGGGGTGCCGTTTGACTCTTCTGGCGCGACTCAAAGGGTACGAAATCAGGACCGCATGTGGGGTCCTGGCACGTGCATGAGGCCCCACAGGGCATGCGCGTGTGCCACGCACTGTTGCGAGCGTGCTGTACAGCACGATCGCAACAGGACAGGGCACGTTTCTGCCCTGTCCCGAACTGTACACGCACATGATCGCAATCATGCGCGCTGTACAGCACGACCGAGAAATATCTCGGTCGTGGCGTGTGGCAGGTGGGGGCGCGTGGGATCTCGGTTGAAAAACAGAATCCCGCGCTGACTCACGGAACAAGAAATTGCACGCGAATGTCTCGCCGCATAAAAGAATGATTTTGCCGCAGGTACAATTCGGTTGTTCACGTCATCAAACGGTTAAAACCGTTTTACAGTTGTATACTCGCATGAACTTCATGTGAGGCTTATGGGAGCCATATGGGAGCCACATGAAACCGCAAATGTTCATGTGAGGAGTCAGCAATGGAATTGCCTTGTGTTACAAGAGAAGAAAAAAGGCAACATCCTAAGAAAGTATACAACCGTTTTCTATTACAGCGTGGCAAAAATCAAGACCTTGTTCTACAACTACTTTTATGCCTGCCTTTGTGTGTGCGTAGGATTTTATATAAATGTGTGCCTGTAATTGTTCATGTATACAACAACTATTTTGCATTCGCCTTTCAAGTTCATTTTTTCTACTACTACGTATTGACGAGAGTAGAATCGCTACCGTGGTGCTGCCGAAACTCTGCTCGACCAGTTTACTCATTCCACAGGCTGAGCAAGGCATAACTACTCATTTGCAAATTTTCTATGCCCTTGGCTAGGAGGTGACAAGCTGTCACGCTCGAAGGGCTGCAAGTGATGTTAAGTGTTGCCAAGTTCAAGTCTGCAATACCAGTTTAAACGCTTCCGCATAACGTTATAGCTATCAACACCTAATTCTACAGCCTAATATCTGTAGACGGTTAAACCAAAAAACTAGTGTTACCAGCAGACGAGGAATCCGAGAGGAAGCTACTAAGCTAGGAAATGAAGTGGAGAAGACAGCCGCAGCAGGGAGGTGAGGGTGGGAGTTGAGGGCGATGATGATCGCCCAGTTCCTAGCCAAAATTTCTTTGCAGATCTCTTGCGTGGCTGCAACATCCCAACCAGGGCTGGTGACGTGGAATTAGCGAGTTGCGACCTCCCATTCAGCCGTGGATTGTGGTGTGGATCCCGACGGATGCGAATGGACTGTCAAGTTACCATTCTCTCGCGATTTGCAGGGTGACAAGTTTCTATGGTGGCGTGGCATGCCAGCAGGGCGGGTCCAGCTACCAAAAAATCCCGCCAGGTCTGCGACTTAGACGAATCAGGACAGCAGCTGTGCAGATATTTCTGCTCTAACGGGAGTTGGAGCTCTACGAAATGTTTCTCTGCAGCCACGCAAACTTTGTTGTTCACTAAGGAGAAAATTGGCTAAGTGTTGAGAAAGGCATAGATTTGGCACACACAGAAAAACATTCACTAGAATTATGAAGATAGAATACAACAAGGGGTGAAATAGAAGCTACCCAACCAATGAACCATGCAGAGAACGTTCGCCCAAGAACGTTTACATAACTACTTTTAGCTGCGCTTTGCCAACTCAGCGTCGGCAGGTGAGAATTACAACATGTGCTTAGTAGGTAATTTTTACCTACCTAAAAGTAGTTGTTTTAGCTGTTCAGGTTGTTTTTAAACAACTTCTGTAACGCACGTTTTCGTAGTTACGAAAACGTGCGCCAGGTTCATTCTGTGCAGGTGGTTCAGTTTCGCCCCAGATTGAACACCCTAGTTCCGCGCACTGTTCCCCGGGGTCAATTTCTCAATGTCCTGCAAAAGTTCCGAAACGATCGCACTTTTGCGTCGGAGGGGTTCGCCGGTAGAAGACTCGATCCTTTGCAGAATTTCGCTTCTGCAGATGCGCCATCCTCTGCAGATCCGAACTTCTGCAGATGCGCCCTCTGCAGCTTCACGTTCTGCTCGGCAGATTCGCCTTCGTCTGCAGCACCACGATTTGCTCTGCAGATTCGCCCTCCTCTGCAGAGCTCCACCTCGACATAGGCGCAGAATTCGCTTTGGCGGAAATTTCGCTCCCCTGCAGAAAGCGACGACCATCTTCTGCAGGGTCAATGCCAGCTCGACAAGCTGACCCTGTTTGACAAACACCGACCTCTTCATTCTCTCTCACAGTAACGGAACGAATCGAAACCCTCATGGACCCTACAGCAAATCTTCCCAGTATACAAAGAGCAAGTACATCGCGGAAAAAAAAATGGCCCCAACTCGAGCCCGAAGGTTTTTCTGCGGGGAAGCTGCGAAAATGTACCAGTGTGCTGCGGCCACTCACGGATGCGGAATGTTACAAATATGTCACCTCTGATGCGTCACTAAAAAGTTACTTTCATGCCACATCGAAACAACAGACAAGCCATATGTCACGTGGCTCATTGGTTCACTGCACAAACGATTCCACCAGAGCCCAACACAGCATGGCAATCGCCAAGACCCGATCTACCGCGTGCCAGACACGTCTGTGCCACCTTACACACATGTCTGAAACTAGGATTGCAGACATTTCACAGCAATTTCCAAAGAACAATATTGGCACTAGTCAAGCGTAGCCTACCCACATCAACGTGCAGGTTCAGGGGGAATCGCACACACGTTAAGGGTTTACGGCAATAAGTCAGGTCCGTGCACCACAACCCCCCTACTCGCACAGCATGAACTTGTTGAGGAGGAGAACTTTGGGGTTGGTGAATGACTTGCACACGTGCACCAGCCTCTTGATGCTGCTCAGCTCAATAACCCCATGGGTGAGAGGTGACCACCCAGGTCGCAGTTCCTTGCAGGTGGTGTATGGGCACTCGCCAGCGACCTCGTAGAACTTCACAAAGGCAAAGTCGCCCATACCCCCCTCCGCCTTCCGCCCTCTGAATATCAGCAGCGTGCGCGCATACCACTCCCGCCGTGAAGCCATGATCGCCACATCCGAGAACCAATTTTCACGAGGGCTGGCCTTCACAAACGCCGCCTTTTCCACCAGCTCTCCACCACGCGATCGTGGAATCGCCACCGCCGTGTGGACCTGTTGAGGACGGAAACAGCAGCGAAGGCAATTTAGTCATTATCCGACCTAGTCACGTCAACGTATAGCTTCCCACAGAAAGCACCTGTGTCATACGGGTTTGGCATATATGCCTCTACGCATGTCGGCTGGCGTCCGTCTGGGGGTGTCACGTGTACAACACATCAACTCCAATACAACGCACAAGCGCGCTCCAGTCTACGCATCGAAGGGAGCTGCAACCCGACAAAAAGACCTGCCGAGCGGGTACATACTTTCATCAACGAGTCTCAGGATTGTTCGATCACGTATTCATTATGAAAACCCCACCACCCTTGCAGGCGCTACCCAGGTACATACATACAATAGAAACTAGTCCATAACAACAGCCGCGACGGCCATGAGCCGAGATAGGGAACGGCACATGGAGGAGGGTCTCAGGGCGATCGGGTGGGGGGGTGTTAGAAGGGGGGGTATTATTCGAGCCGTCCACGGATGCATGCATGTGAGGATGTGCGAATCACAACAGCACATCCCACACCACTACGACCATTACCCGTGCTTCCACGGTGATGGGAGTGGTAGGGGTTGGAGACAAGTGAGACTTCCCGTTAGGGTAGTGCCTACGTGTGCTTCACCACCAAAACCATGAAAAATCACACGTACAACGGCTCCCTTGTGCGTACATCCCCTATCAGCATCACCACAAGCCGGACCACCATCCACACGGAGTGCTGCATCAACAAGCACTCGTCTACCTCCAGTGTTATACCCGCGCGAACACCTCTACTTCATGGTTCCGTGACACATGCTCTTCATCAAATCATCATGACCACGCACCGAGATGCATGAGGGATCAACGCCGGCGGCCCGAATACGGCCCACAAGCCCATCCATGTCCGGACCCACTACCTCGCGGTACTCCTGGAACAGCCCATCATCCGCCACGGTCGGTGTCATAGGCTTGCCACGCTTGGTCAGACGGTACTCCTGGTGCCGGACCGCCTGCATCATACAAGAGCCGGAAATACGTTGCCAGTTGATGGTTGCACGTGAACCACCACAACATGTGACCTCCAAGGGCAACGACTCTGAATTCCCCACGCATAAGACCAGCCTACACACCTCGCGTAGTGCCGTGACGTACTCTCGCCCTCCGCCAGCATTGGCAGCGATTTCACGAGCTATCTCCCGCTGCATGTCCTCCGCCACGATCCGCCGAGGGATATCCTTCCAGTTCCCGCCCCGGACCGGCCCTTTCACAGTGCCCTTGTGCGTCCTCTCCCACAACTCGGTCGAGTAGTGGTGGGGCATGCCTCGGAGAGGGATGGTATCGATGTTGTGCACGATCGAGTGGATCTTCGGCAGCTGCCACTCCGAGCTCTGGTTGGGAAATGCCGCGATCAGCGCCTCCACCAGCCTGCCCCCCGTGGGTCATGCAAGAGCGCAACAATACATGACCACATCTTCAAAAACCGATAAATTCGGATGCCACGAGAAATTGCCGCAAGGGACATCATATACGCACTGTACGGCTTGTTTCTTCACCTCTTCCAGCGACCCCAGGGTGTGCCGTTGCACTCCCAGCAGCGTCTTGTAAAACTCAGCGTACAGCCGAAACGCCAACACCTCCCTCTCTCTTTTGAGACGTCCCTCCGTGTCACAACCCACACACCTGTCCGCAATGAGCATCGGCATCACCTGCATCATTGCCCGGTACTCGAATGCAGCGTAGTTAGCCCCTGTCCGGAAGAAAGACGACCCCCCGGGGATACGCAGAATCACACTTGGCGTGTCCTTCTTATACTCCTTCTTTCGCCTATTAGAGAGCCACCATGCAACCATCATAATCTTAGACCCTGATGTAACAAACCACACGGCATACAAACGCAAAGGCGTACCGTTCAAGCTCCCTCAGTTCGGGCTTGGTCTTCCCCTCCAAGAAACAATCAGCCATGTGGGAGGGGACGCCTGAATCGAGCACGTGGAGAATGTCGGCGACGCACGCCAGGTAAACGTTCCCCCAATCCGTCTCCGAGAAGTTCCATCGCTCCAGCACACACTAGCGAGACAATGCACACACTGTCGTGAGGCGTAGCAAATACGGCCAGATCTGACGGTTGTACAAGCTCCACTAGAACAACAACAACAGCCAACGATAAGTCTCCACAACCCCACCGTCTTATATTCCGGTACTCACCTCAATCGGATGTGTTGACCACCGTTTCTTCCTCTCTTTGGCGAGCCGCGTGGTTGGTGCCTCAAGGATCTTGCGAACAATGAACCTGTGCTCCTTCACCGTCCGTGCCCCCACCACAAAATCCAGATCCCTCAGATGCGAGTCTCTAACGTAGCAATTCGAGCATGGCCGGTGCGAGTTCTGCTGCATTGTCGCCGATGCCCTGCTTCTCTCTGGGGAATCTCCAACGAACGCAAATAGACAGAAATACGCCTTCACCGCAATTCGCTCCTGCCATCCAACCACATGAGCGACATGAATGCATTAGAGACATGGTCGTCAACACACCCTGACATGGTTCGGCTCGGGCTTGAAAATCGTCCAACGCACTCACGAGACTCGCGCATGAGAGGCCCCAGAACAATCCGCAGACACTCCTAGAAGAGCCTGGCCTACTCTGTAGGGGTTGCCCACTCGGGGGGAAATGGCAGTACGGCAGACAGTGCGTGCCCCGGCTCTGTCCAGCGCAGCCACTCTGGCACGTTCACCAACGCTATCAGCATCGGCCACGCCTGGCGCCTTCCATTGCCGGATGCATATGTGCTGTCGCTATACACAATGACCCCGAGGACTATTGAGTCCTCCTCCGGGAGCTCCTTCTACAGAAACAAACACAGGCACGCGTAATAATTGCCTCACTCAAACGCATAGAACTCACGTAAACAACCACCGGCTACCAAAATAAACTCACGTGGGCACGCTCGAGCCACATCCCTGTGGCAGGGTCACTAAAGTGCCTCCTTCTCGACGTGTCTGTAGGGTCGGCCTTGGGCTTGGTAACGAAGTCTGGATTCGAAATGAAGGTCCGAACGAACTTCCTCACAATCTGCGTTTAACACCCCGCATAAATATCTTGCGGATCATGAAGGGCATACGACAAAAACAGGAATCGCTTGACAGTTACAACGACCTGACTCTCACCAGTTCAGTGTCGCGGAAGTGCAGCTCCATGCGCTGAGTTATCCCATCGGGCCCCTTAATCACTATGTACACGGTCTTCCATGGAACGGCGTCTGCGGGCGCCCGTAGTTTCCCCCATCGCCGAACATCCACCCAATTGCGCCATCTTCGAAGTTGGCGAAGAGAGAACCGCCTGTTTCTGAAGATTCGCAGCAGCCTATTTATCTCACGGCGTGATAAGTCGGCATCACGGAAGAAGCAGTACATTTCCGTCAATGTGTCAAAGTACTCCGCGTCCTGCTCCGCCTCGGACAAGTTAGAGCCCGAGACACTCGAGGCGCTACCATGGTCAAGGCTGGTGTCGGAGGAATCGTCAGAACTTTCGTTCACCGAGTAGGAAGCGTCTACGGCAATGGGAACGCTGTCATCGTCGCTGGCAGCACCCGCTAGAGCGCGCAGCGCAGCTTCAAGCGCCTCTGCGACCTCCTTGTCCAGGTTCTCCAACAGCGTTTTCCAGCACTTCCGGCGCCTATATATATGAGAACGCAAGCGATCCTTGGACAGAAACTCGCGTAGGCATGACCCGCATTGATTGCGGGCCATGCCTGGCCGGTCACCCATTTAGAGCGCCAAGGCAGTCTAAACCTAATCTACACGGCTGCGGCAGGGAGAATGCGGGGCACCCTTTTGCCTCGGGGGTCAAACACCAACTGCCAGTTTCGGTTGGTAGTTCACTGTACGCGTGGAAGTAGGGTTTGTGCATATGCCCCGTGTACGCGACAACCCGCAACTCACTACACGATATGCACTAGGGCTTGAGAGATAACATGGCACTAAAACCACTCAATATCATGTAATCGCCGTAAACCAACACTACAAGACAATCAAAAACAAGGCCAAACCCAGTAGTCACAACGCAAATGCGACCATATAGACGCGCCACAATTCTTGTGACAACAAGTAGTCAGCCATGGGACGCCTACTTGCTCTCCGCGTGCAATAAGCGGCGCCCATTGGTACCAACAGAGCATCTTGACCCAGGGTACGCCAACAGATCTCTTCTCCTGGACGTTGCAGACCACCACGGGTCCAGCCCTAGAGCTCTGCTAAGCTCGCCCACACGCACCCTGGACTCCCGGCCGCTTCCCCTTGGGTCTGGTCGTCCCTGTTGATCGGGTGTGGGTGTAATTTTGAACTACTAATAGTCATAATGAACACATCGCATACAATGCAGGTAACACTAACTTGTTCAAACAGATATTTACAAAAGTGGAGAACCATGCCTCACCAGTCCATGACGATCTCCTAGAAACGGCCCAAACTCGACCTCGGCGGGTGCATCGCAGTCGACACTTAAAGGCAGGTCGCGGAAACGCTCCACCTGCCAAACATGAACACGGATGTGGAATGCATAATCCAGGCGTCGTTGTGAATGTCACTACTAAAATGAGGACAGTACTCACAAAATAACCATGAGACATGGCGTAAGCCATTAAATCTGCTCGGTAGTCGAACTCTCCAGGGCCCGGAAGAACGAGGTTGTGAATCGAAGTAGCTCGGTGATTTATACGCCTGTAGTCCACGATCCGTTGGAGAAACGCCCGCAGCCTTGCTTGCTTAGCCGCAGTAAACTCCTTATCAGGATGTGTTGCAAGAATGAGCCATCTAAATACGTACGGAAGGCGATCCGTACTGCCAAGGCACAAATACGCGACAAGCTCTGCGTGTGCGCGATTCCGATGTTCCGCCGGACTACAGCGACCCCTACCAAGAAACGCGTGCAGCCCTTCGAAGGCCATAAGCGGATTGATGTTTGCAGAACGTTCTTTCAGGTAAAGGCCCGTCACCCGCAGAATCGCGTAGCTAATACTAGGGTTTTTGGCGATAAAATGTCCCCTGCTACAAAAGCGGCGAGGTCGCTTCGGGAACAGCCTGTCCATGGTGCAGCGGTGCTGCCTGGCATGAACGGCCAGTATCCCTACGCACTGGATATTAAATACGGAGCCCGTACGGCGAGCAGTCCTAATATACTCGAGAAGGTAAAGTGTCACAGTGGGGGGCGCGAAGCCCTTGTTGTTGGCGCCACAGAACGTCCTCGACATTAGGCGCCTCTGTAGCTGATCCCCAACTTCGATTACAGCGACGGATAGTTAGCATTGTTATAAACACCCTATTTGCATCCGTATGGTTGCGATTAACGGGCCAATACACAAACAACCAATTATCCAAATATGTCAAATTAACTTGAGAACAAGACACTCAGTTTCGCATAATACAAAGCCATTGTCACGCATCTAAACTGCACGAGTATTAGCACAACCAAAAGAGACACAAACCAAGGCCAGACACTCTGTTGACGCACTAACTATAAGCAGGACCACGCATAGGGAGGCCGATAAGATACGAGGCTAGCTCCTCCATCCCGTACATAGCAGCGTTTACAATCTCCCAATCCCGCCTCACTCTGACGCCCTCAAGGCCCGAGAAGGATAGACTGCAAATGCGGAGCTGCCGCTTCCTCTTCATCGGGGTCCTTTCAAGGCGCGCAATGAGTTCGGGCTGGGTCGCACGCAGGTACCGGGACACCCCACGGGGGTCAAGACCCTTAGCAAATGCGTAACGGGTGTAAAGCTCTGCCGTAAATCGCAATACACGGCGCTTAGCCCTTAGGTCATCGCGATGGCGCGTTGGAGGAGACTGCTGTTGGCCCATGTTGCCATCCGGCCTTGGTGCAACCGGTCGCGGACCGGGAAGGAGCGATCGTGGTTCGTTATCCCATTCGGCGTATGTAGTAGCTGACATCGCGCCCTCCCCAAGACGCATACGGTTGAGCTTCCCCTGGAGGTCTGCCAGCACATAAATAAGTGGCTCGTAGCTCAAGGACCCTCGCGAAAAGTCGAGTGCGCAAAGAGAAGAGACCCAGGCATCTGGCACGCATCCTGCGCGCCTCCAGCTGCGCTGAACCGCCTCCACTCCAATGTCACGCCAGGCACTGTTCAGCCGCCTTATGATCCAATCCAAAGGCGGTTCATCCCCCCACCACCCAGCCCTCGGAATGCCATTGACGAGTTGTAAGATGTGCACCTCCATCCACGAGTTCCGGTAGCATGCTTTTAGAACCGTCTCCAAACCTTGCGCCAGGGGGTTGCAAAACGGTGGCACGCAGTTGCCGAGCTGCACCACGCTGATGTTTGTCAGAGACTCCACACTGAAACCATGCATGGACTCCCTTATGCCTTCGGTCTCAATGAGCCGGTGATCCTTTGCGTTAACCAGAACCAGTCCCTGACGCTGTTGAGCGAAGAACGCCGCGTTCAAACCAAGCATCACCCGAGTGAAGAGCTGCCATTGTTGGGCACATGCGCGTACACAGTGTTTAGTGTATGCGCTGGGACAAATGCATGACAATGCATACGTGAACTGGCAATAAACGTGACCTCACCTCGGGTGTGACCTTGCCAGTTTTAGTGCGGCGCAAGAACACATGTTCTTCTGGCAAAAAGTATTCCGGAAGGTTAACGACTTCGCGCTCCCTGGTAATCATGAAGAGTTTGGAGGCGACGGTGGTGTCGGCGTTGTATAGGATGTCAGAACATTATATAGCTTATGCTGTTGTGTAGGCTATAGTGGGGTATCCCATAGGGGGTACAACCCAATTAGGGTTTCCTATTTGTACTCACTTCATTTCATAGTTCACTCATTCTCGTTCCTCATTTCCACATGGAATCAGAGCAGGTCCCCTCCTAGGGACTGCTTCTAGGGCCCACCGAAGCGCGCCCCGAGGCGCGTTTTCCTTTTTTTTAGCGACCCTCCGTGTCGCCCCTTGCGGCCCCGCCGCCCTCCCTTCGCGGCCCCGCCGCCCTACTAACGCGGCCCCGCCGCCCTTCCTTCGCGGCCCCGCCGCCCTGCTCGCGCGGCCCAGCCGCCCTCTGCTTCGCGGCCCCGCTGCCCTGCTCACGCGGCCCCGCCGCCCTCTGCTACGCGGCCCCGCCGCCCTGCTACAGCGGCCCCGCCGCCCTCATGTCGCGGCCCGCCCGCCCTCTGCTTCGCGGCCCCGCCGCCCTGCTCACGCGGCCCCGCCGCCCTGCTCACGCGGCCCCGCCGCTCTCTGCTAAGCGGCCCCGCCGCCCCACTACAGCGGCCCCGCCGCCCTCACGTCGCGGCCCGCCCGCCACCCTACCTGCGGCCCGCCCGCCGCCCTACCTGCGGCCCGCCCGCCACCCTACCTGCGGCCCGCCCGCCGCCCTACCTGCGGCCCGCCCGCCGCCCTACCTGCGGCCCGCCCGCCGCCCTACTTGCGGCCCTACCGCCGCCCTCCCTGCGGCCCGCCCGCCGCCCTACTTGTGGCCCTACCGCCGCCCTACCTGCGGCCCGCCCGCCGCCCTCCTTGCGGCCCTACCGCCGCCCAACCTGCGGCCCTACCGCCGCCCTACCTGCGGGAGCCGCCTAGCAGCAGAACCGCCGGGAGCCAAGCCGCCTTGCCGCCGAGCCGCCCGGGAGCCGAGCCGCCCTGCAGCCGAGCCGCCCGGGAGCCGAGCCGCACTGCCGCCGAGCCGCCCGGGAGCCGAGCCGCACTGCCGCCGAGCCGCCCAACAGCCGAGCCGCCCAGCAGCCGAGCCGCCCTGCCGCCGAGCCGCTGAGCAGCCGAGCCGCCCTACTGCCGAGCCGCCCGACCTGCCCTGTCCGGTGAGCACAGCCCCACTGTCACTGCGTGCCCTTCCCCTACTGCTTGCACTGCTCGTCTGTCGTCGTCATGGCTACCCCTAGTGTCCTCGCTTTTGACGCTGAGGGTCGAGCCATTGACTTTGAGGTCTGGGTCGACGACCTGCAGCTGTTCTTACAGTGCGATAGGGCGGACGGTCTTTCCCTCTTTGACCTCACCTCTGGCGCCTCTCCTGCCCCTGCTACTGATGCTGACCCCACTGT